ACCCACTGCAGAAGGGCACTTGAGGAAACTGCTCGTGTGGAGCTTGCCTGAGATTTGGCGGAAACAAGTGGAGTGAGCAACTGGAGGGACTTGTTGCCACATGAGTTCCTGGTTGGCTACAACACTGTGCAACAAAAGCCAAAACATGTTGACGCGTCATAGTATATCATAACAGTCAATCAGGGCCATGGCGTTTTTCGTCTTAGACGGTTGTAAACTGTTCAGACGGAGTACCGATACAAAAACAGGAGTACAAACGACAAAAACGCGTGACTTTGGGTTTCGTAGCAGCCGCAACACACCTGTTTCTTTGCCCGCTGCCTTTAGGGATGGATGTGGCACTCAAAGCCAGAGTGAACGGTGGCACCACTTGTTCACCCAGTGGCAGTTTGCAAGTGGGGTTGGTTCACCCCAATCGATTTTATGTGCAAGTGTGTTTTGAGGTTCTTTTGTTCACACTGTTGATGGGCCGACACACCTGAGACAAGCATGTTCAGTTCAACCGCTGTGGTGAAGATTTCCACGCAGAACTCCCCAACACGTGTTCACTGTCGTGCTCACATTTTAGCTCTTTGTCGTGTAAAGCTCCGCGCTGCTGATCACCGTTTCTGCCTGATCGCAGTTGGCTTTCCTACCGGCCACGGGCCCCTCTCGCATCCGCGAGCTTGCGCAAGCTTGTGTGGAACACCGGAACACCTGAACAAACCGGAACCAGCAATGACTGGGCTGAAACCGCGCTCATCATTGTAAGTCCCTTTGTATTGTCATACCCTCTTGGCCAATGCTGCCAAGACTACTGCGACCTGCCAAGCTTGCGGACCAGAAAAACTTTCGGAAACGAGCTGCCACCAGTTCGGTTTGATTCCTGTACTCATGGGATTATCCAGTTCGGGGCCCCAAGGTGGATCGGTCGGTCTTTTTCGAGCACCTTTCGCTGAAGAATAGGTAGGTGTGGCGTGTTGGTGTTTCTTGGGTTGAACCCACCACACCCGTTTCATCCACGGTTTTGGGCGAGTAGAGAGGGCACAGAGGGAGATGGACTTTGACTTTCACTGCGGGATAGGAGCGATTTCTCTTTCTGTACAAGAAAAGGATTTTGTCCGTAAGATCTGTCTACAGTGGGTTGAAAAGCAATGGGATGCACTTTAGCACACCAATTTTTGACCAGTGAAAGGTTGGCTTTGAGCGGTTGCCATGAATTCCTTCTTGGTTCATGATGCTTGCTCAATTTCGTTCAGACAGCAACAACACTAGCTTGCTGAAGCTCCAAGTCACCTCCTTTTCTGTGATGTTCGATTCGATCTCGAAATTGACACCTGCTTGTGATGGATCCGTGATGTTCGATGGATTTGTGATCCCTAAACCGACAGCGACCTCCGTACGGAAAGACAGGAGGTTGAAGATACCATGTCGATGTGGACACATAGCATCATGTACTTGTAGACTCTACGGAGCACTGTCCTTGAGAGACAAAGCCAAACATTGCCTTGAGTCTTTGTCAAAAGGATTTGGCATCGGAGTGGCATAGATTCTAGTGCATCGAAGAGGACTTTCTGGATTTTCTGATCTGGAAACCTCGTACAACTGTGCTGCAATTGCTGGCAGACAGTGTGGGGTTCCCATTCCGAACGTCGACCATTTCTGTAGTTCATGTGTGCAATCGTCGCATCTGGCTTCAGAGAAGGACAGCACTCGTCCTCCCGTAGTCTGTGGCGATGGGTTACGGGTCGCTCGGTTGACAGGTTTGCGAAGGGCTTGCAGTGGCAAAACGAACATCCCAGCCGTTTCTATGGAGTTCTCTGGCCTTTTGGAGGTGTTCACAACCTGGGTGCTGTTTTCGATTTGATCGTTGGGGCGTTGGCTGCCACTTCCGGACTTCTTTTCCCCACGCAAACCGCTTGGAGACGTTTTCGAGCACGTCATGATTGCTTTCAGCCGTCGTGTTTCACGCCCCGGTAGCTTGCCTAAGCTGCCGGAGCCCTCCGAAACACGGGTCGAGCTCTCACAGCGGATCGGGTCCCAGGAAATCGAAGGGACGAGGATACCGTGCAAAGGAGCTGGACTGGGGCTCCTTGGCGAAAGCGTGGGGAGGTGGAGAAAGGGCCGTGAAGAACCGGCAACGGACCAACACGTCGGCTTTGAACTGTTCAAGTAGACCTGAGGAGCTGCTCTTCCGAACCTCCAAGCCACCCAAAACAGGGTGGTTTCTCTTAGCTTTTTTCCATTGGTTTGGTGCTCATGTGGCGAGTCGGGAGACATGGAGGTTCTCCCGGGTGACTTGATCGGAGAAAGGGGTGAAGCCCGTGGTACTGGTACGGTTGACCCGTGTATTTGTCCATTTTTTTTTCCTAATTTCACATGGTGTAGTTTTCTTCCTCCATGACAGGAATGGGTGCATTTTTCAGTGGTCAAACAAGGTTCCCCTGTTTTGTTTCACAGCCAGTTAAAAGCAATAGAAGCACATCTGGCGTGGACTGCATTTATGCCGACCACCCAAAAAGCTTCGATGGGTAGAAACATGGCACCTCTGACCGAAATCAGTGGCACCTGAATCATTTCTGCTTCTGATGATAGGATGCATCAGTTTATTTAGCTCTGACATGCTCCAACCGAAAGCCCTCTTCAGCTGTTGGTCTCGCAAGGCGCTTTTCACTCCGTTGTGGCACCTGAGGCTCGTCATGGAATGGCCGTAGCTCCAAGGGGAAAGGAAAGAGCAAGGCGAGGACTCTGCCCCTATTCGACCGTTGGGTCTCGGCCGGACGGAGGGCGCTCGGGAGTCGGGCTGCACGAACGGATGAGCGTCGAACGGATCGACGGGTTCACTCCTCAAACGGTTGGACCGGGGCGGTGGTTTTGGGATTTGGGTTTGACAAAGAGCCCCCCCTGCAAACGATGTTCTCACCTAGACAGTTACGCTGCTCCTTGTGCAGCGTTTCTGGAATGTTCATTTCAGCGCACAGAGAGGTGTGAGGAAGAGAGGTTTTGGCAATGTGGTGTGAAATGTTTAATTTGCAGGAGATGTTGTCTACAAACATATTCTGCGTGGTATGACACATATTTACTTGCGTTACTTAGTGTGGCATGACACATTTTGTGATGAGACACACTAAGTGTGTCTTTGTATAAAAAGAAGACATCCTGTGCCGGGTGTGGAAGAGTCTGTTCTAAATTGGTCTTGGCATCAAGTCGCGCAAAAGAATCATTTCAATTTGGGTGAAGTCCTAGATTGCTGCACTTGCTGACTCTGATCAAGCACCTCGCAAACTGCGTTGGGACACCCTCTAAAGTCTAAGTGTGTCTGGATAGCGACACCTCTTCATCTGGGGGGTTTAATCAAGGTTCGAGGTGTGTTCCGATCCTCTTCACAGACCTCTCCAAAACCTGCACCTCCGAACCCACACCATTGGGGCGGAGCGCTCAGCACCACGGACCTCCATGCGGAAGCCGCGCGTGGCGGAGCGGCGGAACCGCGCGTTCGGGGACGCTTCGAGCAGTGTCGGATCGCCAGGGGGGAGAGATTTCGGGGTCCCCCCCTACTACAACACACACCTGGCCGTAATGAAACGACTCCCGGCCGGCTCCATCGGGCGGCTTCTGAAACGACGTGTCAGATGTCAGGTGTCAGGTGTCACACCCAGACGAGGTGAACCGAACTCGTTTGAAGCACTAAGGGCTTCGGTTCATGAGTGAAAGGAGTCCATTCTGAGACGGTTCATGGGGTCAGCACGTCTTGATATGACGTGTTCATGGGGTCCACGCATTCGGAGAGGCGAGGCTAGGAAGGGATCCCTGTTGATGTTTTCGGGGGCGACCTCTGCGGTGTTTCGCGCTGCCTCGGCGCAGTTTCAGAATCGTGGCGTCTGGCGGACCATTGTCAAGCGGCCAGCGAAGGCCAGCGGGGTGGTTTGGTTCTTTCTGGGTCTTGGCTGTGGGCCACCGAAAAATGAGCAGAATAGACTACCAGACATGGTCAACTTACGTTTTGACCTGCAGCCCAATCATGCCAAATCGATTTTGTGTTACGAATCTTCGCTCTCGGCGGTTTGGTCGAAGCAAAAACGAACCATGGAACACAGGCATGTCTGCTGTTCTTCAGGAAGACTTCCCACTATACAACCTGAGAGGGAGAAGACGTGGACGCCCATGGACACTTTTGGAGAATTTAGTTCGATCCTTTTTCCCGCTGCGAGTCTGGAAGGAGCTGCACGTCCCCAGATGGGAACTTGTTGAAATGATATATATATATATATCCATAATATGAATATGTTTGTATTTATACTGAAGGAAGGGTGAGATAGGACTTGTGAAACGCTGGGTGAGACACTATGTCACGAGCCCATCGAATTCCTACGTCATCCACCCTCAGTATATACAGTAATTTAGTATTATATTGTATTACATTATGTAAGAATATGTTTTGTATTTATTATGTATATATTTCAATTTTTGTGTGTATGAAATTTTCAGTTTGCACCGAATTGAATCAATACATGTCAGTGGATCTTGAGCTGGGGGGAGTGGTAAATCTCTTTTGTTCGCCACAGAGGTTCGCCCAGAAGGGATCGCTTTTTATTTCCAACTTAGGGATCAGTCCATGATTTAAAGGGGGCAAAAATATAAAGCTATTTGTCCCAAGAAATACTCACTCGATTGTTTGGGGAGCTTTTCCACAATGGACCGACTTGGTAGCCCCAGTAGCCAGTATCCTTCACGAAGCTTCGCACTCTTGGTGGGCAGGTTTCTTTTTCGGTATGAAACACAGGCGCCGCACGGGGTCTGTGGATGACAAGACATACGGATTGGCTTCCCCAGGCTTCACTATCCGGGGTGGGTCAGCCCGCGATGCATCTCCAGATGAACGAAACCAACTAGATTTAGAGTGACATATATTATAGCGATCTTCAATGGCTTGAACGACTAACACATGTGTTTTCTGCGCGCCCAGGGCTATGGCCGAGGCTATGGCCAAGGCCGAGGCTATGGCCGAGGCCGAGGTCGCTATGGCGACCGAAGCTATGGCAGCTATGGCTATCGAAAGGGTCTGGGGCTTGGTAGCAGAGTGGTGGAGGGACAGAGCCTCGAAACAAGGAGGTTAGTCAATTTGGATCCTTCGGTGTGCTCTTTCTCCTATTCTTTTCTGGCCGAACGATGAACGATGGTTTCGGTTAAGAAGACTCCCAAAGTGGGTGATCACCCTTGGTGGACAAGTTCTAGAGCAGCACAAACTAAATAGTCTGCAGACTCAACGAAAACCGTTCAAGAACCCCACTTCGAGACACAGGTTCTGCACCAGGTCATCCACATGTCGTGTCACAATATTCTTGAGGGAATAGTGGCTCTCACTCTAGACTGCTTTTGTTCTGTCCCAAATTGGCCCTTGGAAAAAAAGGTCCCTCAGGCCCCTGTCTTGGTCTAGTGCTCCACGAATTGCCTCACCAGGGCGACTGTCAGCCTCAGCCGAATTTGCCTTTTCTCAAACTCCAGCAGACGGCAGACACTTCCTGCCGGGGGGGCTGAAAACCCCCGCCGGACGAGAACATCGCCGGTGAACACGTGGCATTTCAAGACGTGGCATTTCCATGACCAGCGACCAAGGCGACGCACCGCCGCCCCGTTTTTGGCCAATTCATGGAGCTCTTTCACTGATTTTTCGCTCCAAATACTCCCTGAGCAGTGGAAGCAGTGGAAGCTGCTCCAAGTACTGATTGATCCTCAAGCTCCGGATCTGCTCCGCCGAACTCTGAGGCTACGGCAGAAGCTACGGCTACTACCGTCCCAAAGGTGCGAGTTGTGGGGCGTTGGAACGAAGGGGCTCGAACCGGTGGTTGGAAGGGCTGGAAACGGCGGAAGAGGAGCAGAAGGTGGCCGGACGCAGAAGTCGTTGTTTTTCAGAAGCCGGGCGGTGATGCTACTAAGTTGCCCCCTTTTCTGGCAAAGGGGAAGTCAGGACGCGAACATGTCTCCTGTCTTGCTGGAACTTCTGCCACAAGAGGGAATTTCTGTTTGAGACTGCGAGCTTCGGTCAAGAACTTCGGTAAACGGCTGTTGAGATGAGATCCAACCTGTGTGTGTTCTTGTTTGCATTCTTCCCCAGCAGCTAGAGACGAACTCAAAAGTGCAGAAGCACCGCACTCGGTTTGTGACTTGCAGGGTGAGGCGAGCTTCGGTCGGTGGGTTCCAGTGGATGTTCACACCTGCGACGGGGCTGCGACCGAGCTGCTGTTTTTGGTTTGGATGACCAAGATGTCCTAAGACGACGATGTCCATGTCGTCTGGAGCTGGAGGGGGTCCAGACGAACGACCCGAATCCGCCACCCTTCCCATAGTGCCTGGATTCGGGTCCGGAACGTAAGGCAGAAGGAGTCCCAGGCCAGTGGGTTTTCTGTGGGTCCAGCAACACCCACCGTGCGGATCGAGGCCGGGGCCGAGGGAAAGGCCGAGGCGAGACCCGGTGCGGCCCATTCGCTTGGGAGGATGGGAATGGTGGGCATTGCTACTAGTAACAAGGGCATCGCTACTAGTAGGAAGGGCATTACTACAACTAGTAGCAAGCGAACGACACGTTTTTGGTTGCTCCACTGGACACAAGAGCTGGGAATTCCTGGTGTATTTTCCCTCCTAGACTATGGTGTTGGACCATCCCAGATGGCAAAAGAGCGAGTCTGGAGGATGGGTCGAGACCTTGCCTGGGCTGTTTGGAGGATCAGCTTTTGGAGTTCAAAAGCTTGGGAACGATTCTGAGGAATTTCTGAGCAGCTTGTCCTTTGTGTGTCCTTTCACCTTCTTCGCTCCTCTATCGGACCTTTGAAGGCAGACAGAGGAATCGTTGCGAGGAGTTTGGGATGGATCCGATCTGGGACTTTCCGCGCCCAGTGAGACCCATCGCATCATCGATCTCAGCCAGCTTATGGGCGGCTTCTGGGGAGCAGATGGGATGGATTTCCATGACATTCTTCGGTAGTAGCGATGCCCTTTGTTACTAGTAGCTTCTTGTTCCTTTCGTAGCGATGGCCTCCAACCTACTTGTGATGGCCTCCACCTAATAGCGTCCTTGTAGGCGTCAAGAATTTCTCTTCAGGAATTCCTGGAACTAGTTCGTTGGTGAAGGGCAGAACAACCAGTCTGTCGATTTGCGGAATAGAGAAATCCACAGCCACCTTTGTCATCTTCTGAGAAGGTGCTGGGTCTCTCCCTGAAATCATGGAAGAAGAACAGGTCCCTGGAAGACGCTTTTTCTCTACTAGAAATAATCAGTGGGTTTTCTACTTCCCTTTTGGAGAGTAGCGACCACAGAACTACCGGTGCTTGGGGACCGCACCGTCCCCGAAGCGACCCTTCGGGGTCTGACACGGCCGGCCGACGGCCTGAGAGGCCGTGGGAAAGGTAAAGGCAAAGGCAAGAGAAACCAGGCGCTGCACCGGGGTGGCAAGAGGGCTTGAGGCTTCCACCGGGGTTGGCTGCGGTTGTAGTCGCGGTCGGTTGTAGTCTCCATGTAGTCTCCCTGCTGACCGATGCTCTACGAGGAGATGCACCGCCCCGATCATTTTTATCGGGAAAACCAGGCACCGTCCAATCCCAAACCAGGGCTTTGCCTGTGACCACTCGGGTGGCACAGCTTCCAAGCAGGACCCTTCTTGACGCCTGTGACCTGCCCCTGAGAGCCACAGTAGACTGGTCGTCAGTTTTTCGCAGGTTCTGATCTGATGAGAGTATTGGTAGGCACACTCTACTGGTCGTCAGTTTTTCGCAGGCTCAGATCTATCGGATGAGAGTATCGAGGCACATTTTGGAGTCTTGGTAGGTGTTCATGGTCTTTTCGGATGTCTAAAGGTTGGATCCAAAATCAATGTCACGCTCTTCGATGTAGAGACGAACAGAAGAACAGGAGAAATTTCTGTAGAGTAAGAGGACGAAGGGGCTCCTTCAGGCCCTACAGCCGAGTCACCTGTCCTTGAGACAACAGGCTTCTTCTTGTCGAATGTGCAGGTGAGTTGTTTCAGCATCCCCATGTTGAAGTCTACGATCCAAGACATGGGCCATTTTTAGACTTCGATCAGAAGGAAGGTGTGGCTCATCTCAGGTCCGCGTGACATGGAGTTCACATGGAACCTGAGAAAACCCACGGAACTGGGTGGTAGAGGATTTCATCGTCTTCCAGTCTCCATGCTGGTTGCCCGGTTTTATGTTAAAGGGAATCATTTTGACTCAGAATGACTCAGATGGATGTTGCTCAACGATCGGTTCCCAGAAACACCCTTCCGACCATCGATCTGGGCAATATCAAGGATTGCTGGGTTCGTGGGGTTCCTTTTTCTCAGGTCTATGTAGAGGCAGAGCTCCGGTGTTCGCAGTTGGATTCAGCGGTTGTGATGTGCAGTTAAATTCAGCGGTTGTGATGTTTTTTAAACCCGGATATCAAAACAAGTGACTCAAAAAGGACAAAGTCTCAAGTGATGACATCCCAACAAGGAGATATGACCGATTCTTTGGTCTATTTCAGAGGCTCCAGCCAATCGATGCTTCGACGGCTTCGCACAGCTCGACGGCTTTGCACACGTCGATGCGTCCACCAGCTTCAGGTCACGAAGGAAATGCTCGACAAGCAGCTGGAGGAGTACATGGGCCCGGATGCCATTAAGGCGCGTGGCAGCTCGCTGCATCGGTTCGGCGTCATTTTTTGGGGTGGAAGGTGGTCCTTGGCTTGATGCAACATGAGGTGGTTGACCTTTAGATAGGGAAGCTGATCCCGACTGCAAGATCTTCTTGCAATCTTCCTTGGAGTTTTACTACTTTGGTTCAATTGCTGCAGTTCCCGGCACTAAGAAATATCTTGACAATCCAGGGTTGTCACGGTGTATTGATAAAAGGAAGTTCTCACAGGTGTTTTGGAACGTTGAATTAATTTCCAGTAATCCAAACCATTAAGCCATACAGGTTGTTCCGGACATCTGAATGTGAAGTTTGGATCAAAGCCATTGAAGTCCTTAGGGCATGACCGCCAGGGTATAGCCACTTACCCGTGCCAGAGACATACGGCATGGTCCACCCCGCCCGGGCCCAGCCAGGCCATGCTGGATCTAGAACTGGAAGCCTACTTTAAGGTGCATGGGCTGGATGGGTTGGACAGAACAGTGGTCAGGATCATCCGAAAAGATCATTGGCGGCACTACTTCTACTGAATCACCTTAAACAACCATGACCATGGCACTACTTGAACCTGCTTCAGTGGTTAGGATCTACTTCGAACTGGAACTTCGAAGCCACCATTTCACCCTCCTTTGGGGGATGCTTTTAGGGCTTTTCTGCAGATGTTATTTTTTGCACGATCGCTTCCCTTTTGGACCGTCCTTGGCTGTTGCGGACCGTCCTTTTCGTGGCTTTTTGGGGATGCCGCTGACGCTGCCGGCCGGGAGCGAGACTGGGCTCCGCGGTGGTGACGTCGGATGGGGTGGGCCAACTCGTCCTCCAAGAAGTTGATGAAGAATTACCAGAGGGCCGATGGGACTAGAAATACAACCGATGAATAGTGGTATATACCTATCTTGACCCTCAAGCACTCCAAGCTAGGTGAACAGGCCAGTCCCAAAGAGGTTCCACTTTTCGAAAAGACTTCCATCATTTTCAGCATTCTTCCTTTTCTTCACCCACAAAGCCCGTGCTTGTTGGGGGAGCACCTATCTGGAGTCCGACCCACGAAGCCTTGCCGAAACATCTCCCTTTGGTTCTTTGGTGTCTTTTTTGCCTGTTTTTGTCTGGCAACCCCTCCAAGCTCCGTGAAGAAGACCAGCTCCACCCCAAAAAGGGGTGAGGTTCTTCTGCGACTTTTTCTTCGCTTTGCTGCGAACCGCTCTGCTCTGCTCGACGGAAGGACAAAGCAGGCTTGGGCGCCAAGACTGAGACCCCGGTCTGGCGCCCTGGATCTGGCTCACAGGGCCGACCCTGAGCCCAAAAACCACGGCGTTTAGGGGGGAGGGCGGAGGTTCCAGGGTTGGGAGGGGGGAGTGTAGGTTAAGGTTCAAAGTGGTGTAACAGGTCCTTTAGTGCCTGGTATTCAGATATGAGTCGTCTGAGCATTTTCTATATAGGCGACTTCCCCACCCTGGAGATGAGCCAAAATGCCTAGCCACACGGCTAAGTGACCATGAAGTACCATCCAACCAAACAAGTCATGCGAACTGGGACAGGAACCAGTACGTAGACAGAATCGCTTGTTTGGACCAAGCCTTTCCAATAACAATACCATTTTATAAAACACCTATCCCAATATCATCCCCACCAAAACCACCCAAAAGTATCAGAAACGCCAGGTCGATCGAGTCGAGCACCGCCGAGGCCTCCGAGTCCTGAGCGCTCTCCAAAGAGGCCGGCACCGCCACACCCCGGTAGTACGAGCGCTAGTGCCGAGTCGCCCGGCGGAAGGCGGGGGGAAGGCGGAAGGCGCGGCGTGAAGAAGGGTGTGCTCAGTTCTGGAAAGGGGGAGGAGTGAAGGTGTTGTTGATTCGATGGGGCAGCCGAGAAGAGCCAAAGACTTTCTCCTTGAAGGGGTTGGAAGATGAGCTGAGAGTTGAAGATGAACTCCGCATGGACTGCGATCTCAACGAAGTGTCCAGTCGATTTGTCCCAATTGTGAAGGGGACGTTTTTCGGTCCTTGCTCAATTCTTCCAAGTGGATGGTGTCAATTAGACCATGGCCCTTTTTGCGGGGTGAATGTTGATTTGGTCCTCACCATTGTGTATGAAGTCTGGCAGGTGCAGCAGGGAGTTTGGACCCATGCAGGGAAGAGGGAAACTGGTGTTGTCCACGCCTGGTGGGTTCTCTTTTGGGAAGCACTGCGTTTCAGGATCCAGGGTGCCAGTCATGCTAGAGTGGTCACTGTTTGAAGAAGGTCCTCCAACAGGTGGACTACTCCATACCAGGTACTCCAGGTACCCATCCGGGTCCTTTTTCACCACCTCTCCACGTGGAGCGAAAGGACCCGGCTCTCCTCACTGTGTGGTTCTTCGCTCCAAACCTCAGCGAACCACAGATGTTTTTGGGCGGCTTTTTCCTCTTGGTGTGCAGAGGGGATCTTCGGAATGAATCCTCCACTTCTGGGGATCTTTTAGCTCTATTTTTCAAGTGGAAGAAATGCAGGTGATTTCAACTCCCAGCCTCTCGACCGGTCTTCCGGAGAACAGGGAATCCCAGCTCGGCACCCTTCTGATTGCCACGCCCACCTCCGGACGAGTGCAGCTCGACACCTTCGTCCAGAGCTCGTTCGTCCCGAGACGGGGGTCCGTCGGCGTCGAGCCGGTCGTGATCGACTTCCCCGGTCGAATCCGGGCGCGAAGCAACGCATCAACGCATAGGGTTTGGGAACCGGGTCCGAAGGATTTTCAGGCTTCAATCGGCTTGAAAGCATTTTGCTGAACATGTGGGTCAACACAGACAGGAAGGTCGCATATATGGCATACAGGAACGTGATGCTAGGCGAGCAGCAAGTTCAAATTCTAGAGCTTCACCTTTTGTATATATGCAATATTACATCATCCACAGCAGGAACCAATGCGTGGGACCTCCAGCTGAAGTTCTTTCAGGTGCACCTCGCTCCCCAGACGCCACTGCTCGCGCCATGGAGGGCAAGCTTGCGTTGCGCTCGCCCAACGTCGCCCGGCCGGTTTGGTGACCGGGTGGGGGGTTTGGGATGATGAATGTTTGGGGGTCCAAAGTTTGGTTTCGGGGCAGTCGGCGCGGGATGTACGGATGCGAAGGAAAGATTTTGGGCGCCTTCGTTGGGCTGGGACGACACCGTGGAATGCGTTGGGACGACGTTGTCACTGGAGTTTCGATGCTTCGAGCGACGACGTTGAAGCGCAGCCCTCTCTGATATCGTTCACTAGTAGGGTTAGTAGGCTTGGTGGGCGCCTCAACAAGACGTTCGGTGGAAGGAAAGCTGGGACGAGGTCACGACCCGACCCAAGGGCAAAAGATCAGAGGAGAAAGGTCTGAGGGAGGTCTGAGAGTGTGAGATTTGCAATCCACAAGATCGCTTCAAACTACAGTTTGGTCACAGTCACATTTGCTAGGGATCCACATGGCAATTGAGAAGGTGTTTCGGGATGTTTGTTTGTTGGGAGGAAGGTCCATGAGAATCTGGGGCATCTCATCTCATTCTTGTGTCCCACAACAAATTATGTTTAGTACGATTCAAGTGAGTTTATTGTGAAAGTTGGACTCCAATTTATGCTCTTTAAAACAAGTATTCCTGCCAATGGCCTCACTAGGGTTTATGGAGAATTATGGTATATTCAAAACGTCCATTCACTTGCATCACCTGCATCACCACGTTGCTCACCAAGCTGCTCAACAGTGTGATCCCACATCCTGCATCTGACAGTCGTTGGACTTCAGAGCTTCTTTTTCTCGGACACCTCCAGAAACCCAAAAGGAATCACCCAAAAACTGTTTCCTCAAGATCCGAATCGACATCCTCATTTCTCTGTCGTGGACGTGGGGGGGGTGCAGCCTGCCCAATCACCGGAGCCTGCCCTCCTTGTACACATTCCTAAGGAAGCTTCTAGCTACAAAGCTTTCTTGTTACTAGTAGCGATGGCCTCCAACCTAATAGCAATGGCCTCCACCTAGTAGCGTCCCTGCTACTAGTAGCTTCTTGTTCCTAGTAGCGATGGCCTTTGTTCCTAGCGTCCTTGTTCCTGCCCTACTTGAGCCTGCCACATCTGTCCACCGAGATCTATCGCCGCCTGCCACTGCTCTGTGGCGCGATGTTCTGCTTAGGCGATACGCGAAGAACGGGGGCAACGGGGGAACGTGCGAGGTGGGGCGAGGCGGGGCGAGGCGAAGAGGCGTTCACGCCCCGCGAAGAGTGGATCTTGGGTCTTTGCACGTTTCCACTGGTTGATCTGCACGAAAGATGATACTTGTTTTGAACACACAAGAGGTCCCAGGCACTTTCGACTTGATGTCGGGATCAGTCGAACAGAAGACCGACAGGTCCAATTGGCGGAGGCCGACTGTGCTGGCTTCGCAAGATCTCTCCCTTGGTTTGATCAGTTCTCCCCAATGGCCCCAACAATCTCCAGAGGGGGCCAGTTTGGGCTGACCATGTATTATCCATCCAACAAACATTCAGATTAGCTGCTGGCTTGGTCTCATGAACCTGGTCCTTTGTGGCAACCACAGAGGGGCGACCGGGATCAGATTGCTCGGTGGAGTCCCCCCAACGGATTTGCTTGCCGACGCGTTTGATAGTCATTTTTTGAGGTACCCCTAACATGTAACAGCATTCACTACATGCATAGTATCTATCTAGCATTATCTATAGCTACGGTGGGAAGGTTGGTCGGACTTGGTGGAGATGTCCTTGGTCGGAATCCGTCGACCTTCTTTCGCCTCAAGAGGTGCTGGCTTGGAATATGTGATGTGCAAGACCGGCTTCTACAACGTGACTTGGGCGGAGCGTCGACTCCTGCTTTCCGGGTCCAGCAAGGCTGTGCACATGTCTCAACAGCGCTTCATCCACAGTGGACCGATGCAGCTGGTAGGGTCCACACCTTTTGGAGGATGACGAGGCTGTTTGAGGGTTGGTGGATTGGGCAACCGTTATATAGCATAGCGGGATAAGACCACCTCACCACCTCTAGTACTATTGCTTGTTGAATTTGGAGTGCTCCAAGTACGGAATAGAATGGGTCTCACTTTCCCCAGCCAAACACCCAGAGCCCCAAGTCCGTTTTTCCCTCTAAAATCCATCTCTTGGATGAGATGAGATGAGATGTTCGCTCTGCAAAACTGATTGGTGGAATACCATGACCTGGACTTACCTGACGTCCATGTTCCCCCCCGATCCTCCCCAGCCGTCCCGTCCCATCGCCACCGGTGAGGTCACCAGCGTCCGCGAAGGTCAACGGGAAGCTGGAGCCAAGGCGTGGACGGCGAGAGTAGGGAGCGCGGAGAGTAGGGATGGCACCCTGTTGTTTTTGGGGATGGCAGGTTGACCGGAGAGAAGGAGGAGGATCATCTTCTTGTTTCTCTGAGGATTCTGTGATGCCCTTGGGATGCAGTTCCGCCGATGCCTGCGCGTGAGTGCAACCGTCAACGGTAGAGCTCGACATGAAGACTCGGCCTTCTTCCCAGCGGCAGACCCCTGTGGAAAAAGAAGGAGGGCCGAAGAGTTGGCCTTGGAGGTTTCACCATGGCCGATCACAAAATTGCCCCTCACAAGCCAATGGATCCCGTGCCAGGAAAACAATAAGAACACACACTCCATGTGGGGGCTCCACATGGCAACAAAAACATGTGTTGAGAATTAGATCAGTGGCTCCATCACCTTTTGCGTTTTTTTTCTGTATCAATCGGTGCATTTGTCTGGCCTTCCTCCCTACGCTCGTTTCTGAGGGACCCTCGAGGCCTGAGTGTTCGTTCGTGGGTCGGAGTGTTTTTCGTGCCGCAGAATAGCATGTGGACAGTCAAAGCTAGCAGTCCAGAATGACCAGGATGGCACCCAACAAAGGCATTTCATGTATACTGTCTGCTGTACAAAGAACTTCCCTATAGTAAGTAGTGGAAGAGTTTTCTAGGTGTGGGAAGTACTTCCCTATGATGAGCTACTTGCTCCAAAAGCATGCAAGAGACCCTTCTTTTTCTTCTCATCCCCCTCCTTGGGACGAAAAGAACGACACTCCAGGCCGAAGATGAAGAGTTCTGGATGCGTGTCAACCAGCGGCGGGAGGTGTGGACGGCCTTTCTCTTTTTTCCGTTTTTTTCCAGCTTCGTCGTCATCGAGCTTCGCGACGTATTCGGCGAGTTGGCTGTGAGTCAACATCATGGATGATCTTAGTTACTAGTTGATCTACCGACGTGTTGGTCGGAACTCGCCCTATGGTGTGGGGGTTGAGGTTTTGACCCATCCCCATGAAGGCGATGGGCCTGAATTCGGACTTCGCTTTGATGAGAGTCTCATTGGAGCAATGAAGCAAAGAACATGCGACAGCCTTGAAGAACTTTGGACTGGAATCATGTCCCCCCCCAAAATGCCCTTAGCGCAGGGGCCTGTTCTTCTTGGGACATGCTTCCCTAACTGACCCCAGCGCAGTGAAAGGGCATCTCTCACTTTGTGTGAGCCTGTGGGAGGCTTAGTGGAGTAGTAGATCTACACTCCTTGAATGAATCATGGAAGTGAAAAAGTACCTGTCTGTAGAGGAAAAGGGTCATCCAACGGGCCATTTCCCCTTCCATGAATATTCCAGCGAACCAAGAGCAAGAGGGGTATTTCGGGTTCCAGGCTTTCATAGAAATGAGATCTTGATGCTCGAAGGGTTTTCCATAGGCCTGCATGTGAGGTGACATTTTTGCTGACCCAAAGACTTTAGATGATTAGCTAAAGCAACATGTGGGCTTCTCTATACAGATTAGATCTCTCTGAAGCCAAGACCTCTCTAAAAGGAACACCGAGCTTCGGCATCCTCTTCCAAATTTCCACCTTCATCAACCAATTCGGCGCCGCACGCCGCTTCGTCCTCTGGCGACGGTATCAGGCCCGTGCCCGCATGGTGACCATCAAGAGTGAGTAGCGCGGGCGATCGCCGGCGACCAGTCGTCTGGTCGGGATCGGTGACGCGCGCGGAAAGCGTGCCGAACGGTCCGTGGTCCTCCGGTCGGTGGCGATGGCCTTCGGCAGGTCAAGGCTTGGGGGTAGGAGGTGGAGGTGGAGGCAGTCTGAGTCCAATACGAACCTGGACAACGGAATTGATGGCTGTATGACATAGCTGGATCGGTTGACCCTGGGTGAACAGCTGGCAGTCGACATCCCCGGTGGTCTTTGGGCGATGACTCAAATTGATACCCCAGATAGTGTTGAAATTGCAAGGCTCAACAATTGACTGTCTTCGTGACCCGCGCCGCAGGGTGGAGTCGATTAGTCCTATTACTGTATAAGTCCTATTGATGTCCTTGGAGTGTGTGACGCGATGGTCTTCGGTTCTTGAGTCCCTCAAGATGGTCTTCGACCCTCGATGCTTGGGACCGTCTTCTTGGTCAGGTTGATTTGAAGACGAGAAGAACCACCTCCCCTCACCCCGTGGGTGAATCCAATCGACGGGTCCTCGACCCACACGGTACCGGTCGACCACGTACCGGTCGACCACGACCAGGCTCAGGTCCGTCGAACGGATCTCGAGTGGAGCCAAAAGCGACCTGCGCGGGTGTTGACCTCTGGGCGGAACCTCTGGGTTGCGAAAACTCAGGTTGACCGACTAGTCAGGTCGTCAGGTCAGGGTTGTGCACAGCCAGATGGGGAGAGTGGCTACAGAAAGACTCTTCACATCTCTCAAAACCCGGTCTTCTTCAGAGACCATTATGAAAGAGTTCGGTTGACTTACAAGGAATACATTTGTTTAACTTGGTGGTGTAGTCTGCATCGTAAAAAAGAGATCCAGGATGATCCAGGAGCTCTTGCGACGCCGAGGCCCTTCGTCTCAATCGTGCCGTCGCGGGTCTTCGTCTCATGTTAGGACCCTTCTCCTGGACCCTCCCAGCACTTGTTGAGTTACGACTTGGTCCCCGAGTTTGGATGAAAAGGCGGCGATTCCACGCCTGTTGGAAGAGATTCGGTCAGCGATCTGTGGAGCTGTTGAGGCCCCTGGTTCTTCCTCGTGTTGAAGTCGGTCACTCACAAAAAGGGTCTTTTCCGAAGGGAAGAAGCTGGTTCTGATGTTCTTTTACATGACCTTCCCTGACTTTTCCACTTTTGTGAAGCCCTCTGGGGCTTCACCTCACGAGGTGTTTTTGGTGTTTCACCACCCAAAAGGACCCGCAAAGGATTGCTGGCCTCATCCTGGTGGTCGGAGGGGTCCGTCCGGATGGACCATCGGTGCGGTGCTGTTGGCCATCGGTTCTTGTTTCTGTTCGTTTTGTGAACATCTGCACCTGCAGTATTAGTTAGACCTATCGAAAGAGAGTCTCATGTCCGGAAGCAGGAGCTAAGATGAGCTAAGATCGATGCAGCAAAGGCACTGGCTAGAGAAGGCATGTGTCAGGCTAGAGGGATGGTGAATAAGTTGAAGAACTAGTTCCTGGAATTTCAGGCTTGACTTGCCTTGATGTCCAACATATCACAGACATGTCAAAGGCGACTTCAAGTAAGTGATTTGTTTGCGGATTCCTTCCGGATCATATGAACCGTTTCCCTCCATCCAACCTGTGAAAATTGCTATCCTCCTTCCCAGATGAGTTGGTTATCATTGTTTTCCAAAGAAAATACATGGTCACTCAGGACCTGCAGGTCCCAGTTGCATGCCTTGATGACTCACTCGATGGGCATCTTGAAATGCAGCTCCCCTTTCACATGTCGACAAGCCATTTGGGAGCAACAATCATGTTGATATAGTGCTTATTCTTGAAAAAAAGACGGATCTGAATGACTGAGCTACGTACTTGAGGCTTCATGACTCTCCTCTTTTCCATTCCCATTTTTCTCTCTCATCCTTTGCGCCCGCTGCCACCACCCGTTCGAGCGGTGCATCGGCCGGTCCTGTCGGCCGCCGCACGCCCATCCGAGGAGGGGCGTCGGTGCGAGCTCGGTGGGGTGGGGTGGCGAACGGTCGGATGGTCCGCCACATGGCTGGATGGGGATGGGGTTGAAGCGCCGGAGGATGCAACTGGCCTTTGAAGTGAGAAGACCATATTGAATGGAAAGCGTTGGTGGAAAGGAAGCAGAGGCTGGCAGCCTGACCAGATCCAGCTATGTGAACTGCCCTACACTAGGGATGTTTGAAAGGCAGTCCTTGAGCCGGAAAAGAGTGCTTTTGCAACACACCAGCAAGTACAGACTTGGAGTCCTTTGTGCTTCATTTCCATAGCAAAACATGAAGGGAAAATGGGATGTCATGGTCATGTTGCGTGGAGTGCTTGAGGCAGTCCCCATGAAATTGACAGGCAATAGCATGGGAATGGAGATGGTGATTTTCCTCACCAAACACCCCCCTGGCGGCTCATCAGAGACCTTTGAAGGCCCATTGGCCAATTGTCGGCCTCGGCACCTATGCTGAGTCGTAAGCTCACATGTGTTTCACCGGCCTGTCATTTCGCCGGCGCCAAGCAGTTGGACTGGTCTTCCAGCCACCAGTTTTCTTTTGTTCTCATCTATATCTACCCTGGGAGTCAAAGACTATACAAAGAATGGTGTTTGGGCGACCCGAGTTCAGGAATGTCCTGACTACTTCAGTCGGTCAATTTTTAGACCTGAACTGGACTTCAGTCGGGTCTACATCTGTTGTAATCAGTGGAAACTGATCGTGCCATGGGCGCACCGTCCATGCGTGCCATCAACCCACCGTCACCGTGGCCCATCTGCAGGAGTTTGACTGGTTGATGAGACCTGCCTACCTGGTTCTTGGCATCCTCAGTATGGCCGCTGGTTCCCAGTTTGGACGCGTCGCGTTTCGAGAGCAACAGTTGGAGTTTCATGCACTTGTTGGAATGGGATTGGTTCGGTGTTTAGAGGTTAGTGGGTTATGATAGGAGAAAATCGAACTGGACGGCTTCACAAGAAGGCCTCCTTCCAATGTAGCTTGTTTTTGAGGTACATAGAACATCATCAGCTCCTCACAAAATGCTAGATTAGTAGCAAATTGCTTGGCCAGACCTGTTTGCATTTTGGCCCTTCGCAATGCTGCCCTGCGGGGGGCGGCGGGAAAACCTATCACAGATTGGTTCCACGCTTCGTTCCCGGTCCCAATGCCTTCCCCCTTTTTTGGGGGGCTCTCATGGTCGAACTTCTACAGTTGTTAGCTTTTTACTGCTTTTTTGGACGTTCAGAAAACCGTCACCTCTTGGGAGAGTCCGAAAAGGGTCCGGAAAGGGAAGGGCCCTCCGGTTTGGCACCAACAAATCGCCAGAAAACCTGTGGTTTACACGGAGGCCATACGAACGAAGCACTGCAGATCCAAGAACAGGTCGGCCTTGACGAAGGACCATACAAAGATGTCCTGCTTCCCTTTTTCCAAGACCTTCCCGACGCCCTTAGCCTGGAAATAGCTGCACAGCTGCCCGGCTGCACCTGCACAGCTTGAGGCCCTCCTCGTTCCTGCCTTCGTGGCACCAGCACCAGGGCCTGCGCGGCCAGTGGTGCCACTGGAGGTGCAAACGTTGTTTTCTCACAAAAGCGAAGCGTGGATCACCTACAAAACCTTTTTTTTTGGCAAAAGCGAAACAGATCAGATTCTTTGGAGGCCATTGCTAGTAGGTTGCAGGCCATTATTATATAAAGTCTTTTTTGCCTCACTCGCGGAAAGTTCGGTGGAATCCTTTCCCGAAGAAGCAGCTCCAGGGAGTTTGGTGAGCCAAAACCGTTTGATGCTCTCCACGGAGGGTCTTTTCCAGTGTCCTTAGAGTCTCACATCATGCCTCGGCATCCATCGGCATCCATCTCCAAGATTTCAACCCAAAGAGGCCACGCCGTACGAGGAAGTCCGGCTGCATAGGTTGTGGGAGATCTCTCGCGTAAGTGGTTACTCTTGATTAACTGAACACACCAACTGAAGAGGTCCGAGGTTCTACAATCCGAATGGAGGAGGAGTCCATGAATCAAGAGTCTACAATTACTTTCTAGCATGTGTGGTAGAAACGGATTGGAAGCTAAGTGCAGGCTTCAACCTCTTGAAAACAGGTGTTTTCCTCTTGCCAGATGTGTCCTGACAGGCTTCTTCAGTCTCACGCCCCGCCTCCTCACTAGCATCTGGGAAGAAAGAGACCTCAGGCAAAGCCGGGAAGTGGCATCTCGGTGGACTCCGATTTCTTCGTCACCCTGAACCGGTCGACACGGAAAGAGAACAAGATCACTCCACAAGCATGTTGTTGGTCCACTACCGGTTGCGGAAGAACAGGAGTGTCTATATATTACCAGGCTACCGCCTGCAGCCGCCGACCCCCAAGGGATAGAACCTTAGCGCTAGCCTTGCTCTATGTTAGCCTTAGCCTTAAGCCTTAAGAGTGCAGACCCAACCCAGCACGACCAAAGCAGGTACCCAAAAAGTCGACTTTTTGGGTACCTCCCAGATTTACCATCGGACGTCAGCTCTTGCATGAACCCCGATCATTGCCCAAGAATTTAGACCCAACCCTTCACCACCAAAGCAGGTACCCAAAAAGTCGACTTTTTGGGTACCTCCCAGGTTTACCAATTTAGACCCAACCCAGCACCACCAAAGCAGGTACCCAAAAAGACAAAGCCTAGAGCATTCCTAGGAAAATGCCAGAAAAGACTTTGAAAATCTCATAAACCAACAGAAAACGTGACAAAATCTACGAAAAAGCAAGGGCATTGGCCGGGACCATGCCGCGACCAGCCCGGGATTCGAGCCCAGGACCATTTTGGACCGTGCTTATTTTCCCGCGCGGGTCGAGAGGGTGCCCCAAGATGTAAATCAATTGGGATGGCAGAATCTTGGACAATTCCCGGGTCGCTCAGGTAGCTTTCAGGGCACGATTTCGTAACTGCAACAAGGGTCCGGAGGGGTAGGGGAGGTAAGGTCTAGGTCTAGGTCTAAGGCTAAGGACTAGGTCTAAGGCTCAG